TTTTTGCAGGGTCGTTGGCCCCTCCCCCGCCACCCAGTCCCCCCACACCCCAAACTTGTCGCCCCCAACACTACATGGCTTTTGCGCGAACGCGTCAAAAGCGTTCAACCCCGTTCAGTTGACGCGTGTTCAACGCGTTCAAAAGTTGAACATGAAACGCGTGTTCAATGAACAGATGGCAACAGAGTCAGAAAGGCACAAATGCTCTGCTTTTTTCACTACCTTCGAGTTGCGACGTGCCACGTAGTCGAAGCCTCTCTCCCTTAATCGTTTCGTGTCTCCGCAGTCTCTGCATAGAATGCGAGGCCAATGAGGGGCAATAGACGACCAAGGTACGACGATCAGCGCATTGAAAGGACATAGAAGGGCGGAAAGATGATATTGATAATCACAAACCCCAAGTTGACAAAACCCAGACACTATATCTCAGAAGGGAACTGATATGGTCATCCCATCTACACTACAACTTCGAGCACATTCCGCTGTCGTACACGTGTCATATCCTCGTTGTACGAGAATTTAAGACATGGTTTGCAAGATTTGCGGAGTTGCGACGTAGACAATCTCGTGCATTGGATAGCAACGTTACCAGAAAAACGTTCATCTTGTACGGAAATGAGAAACAATGCCCATTTCGTGCATCCACTGTTCATAAGACAAACAAAACTCGTCCTACATATACGAGGCGCAATGAGTGTGTATATCACTCATCCGTTACGATCGTTTGTCCAAGCAAAAAAATGTAACGAGAATGTTGTGCTTACTCACCTTCCAAACTTTAAAATAAAAATCCTACTTAGACCAGAATGAAGATCATTGACGTGCATTGGCTACACACACATGCAAGTGGAAGCGTCCAACGAGTGTCTCGCCCGTTTCGAGGGAGATAATCGATTTCATGAGAGGTTTATGCAGTCTCTAGAAGACGACAAGGGATAAAGACATCTCATTCCATGCTAAAAAACTGATCAAACGGAAATATAGTGTGTAATACTCAGAAGAAAAAGAGAAGTCAAACTCCCACGGAGTTATACAAAGACAATTGTCACTTGCATTCCTTTTTCAAGCATAAAAGTGTGATGAAAGATATTAACATTCATCCCATAGAAAGAGAAGGGCGAACAAGCCTATTGACAACCATATAAGGACTCCCATTCATGTATCCGTTCACATAAATCAAAACCCCGAAAACTCATAGATATGAAAACAGTTGAGAGGGACAAGAAGAAGATGGCGCCTCACCATGCAAAAGTCCCCACTTGAATGCAACAAAGAAGAAACATTGGATCACTGCGCTCTCATACATCTGGTACACCATTCGACCAACCATTATCTCTTATTTTGCCTAAGTACCAACAATCCTCATTACCTCGTACTCAGCGCACCTTGCAGCAATCGTAACCTCTTCAACCGAACTTGTATGTTGATCCGCCAAGACGCTGCATTCCTTTGCAGCTAATTGGCGCTCGTTCCCTCAAAGTTGCAGTAGACCCGTCGATACTTTTTTACCTGCTGATCACAATTTAGGCACTACTCCAACCGGGTGGGATGACAACATGCGAGGTAAAGAGGAAGACGCGCTTGCGGGATTTCCAGTTGCGAATGAAGCAGAGAAAAGATGGATAAAAGCGGAGGAAAGGGAGAAAGGGGATGAAGGAACGGATCAAGAAGGTCAAGTATATCTTCAAAGAGTGCTCGTAGTCAATGGAAATGCACGCTCATGAATCTGGCGCAAGAACATCACCAGATTTATAGTTCGCTACCGGATCATGAATCTCGCGCTGTTTAGTGATGTATAAAACTTGATGCAGTACACCTATCGGGAGCAGAAACCCTTACAAGAGCATCTGCTCGATATTTTCAATCTCGGATGCAATCCGATTATTTATAAAAAAAATCTTAAGTAACATGTACCAAAAGTAATTTAAACCGAGTTTATAACCTAAAATACTTTAAAAATTTTGAATTTGAGTTTGGAAGCTTGTCAGCATCTGGGAATTTTTATCGAACGAAAAATTCCCACAAGAAATCAAGTTAAAAAAACAGTAAAGAAAAGCTCTCTATACTTTTGAAACTATCATTCCAAAGTTCTTCCAATTCTATAATTTGCTAGGTTACCGGGCCGGACGTCCAGGCCCCCCCTGACCGTCCGGAATGTCGGACCGGACGGGGCATGACCGACCTAGCACAAAAAAAAAAAAAAAAAAAAAAAAAAAAAAAAAAAAAAAGATCATGTGGTTCCA